TGTGTCTTGGAAGGCTGCAGGGGAGTAAGGAAAGCGGGTAGGGACATGGAGTCCCAGTTCTTAGTGCTGGCATCCTTGGGTAGTCAAGGTCTGTTCAGCCTTAGGAGTTAGGGAGGGGACGCTCTGGCAGGAGTCAGTCTCTTCCTGACATGAAAACCTTGTAATGAGATTGATGATACATGCCTCAGTTCACCAGGCACAGTGCAGCCCAAGCAGAGAGGAGGTCTGTAAGATACACAGGAGTGATAGATTCTACTCAGTGAATCTTAAATGAGTCACCCATTCTCAGTACTGAGCAATGTGTGGGCTACATAGAAGCATAAGATGCAGCCCTAAGTCTTTGGCTCTTTAAAATCTAGCTAAGAGATGTAATGTAACAGGTAGACAAATGCAACTGCAAAAAAGAGATGATTGGAGAAATCAAGAGAAGCTGATTTGAAAAAGTGGAATGTAAGCTGGTTCTTGAAGTGGGAGGATTATATGGATGGCTAGAGAGAACAGGCAGATAATTGTCTACACATAAGCAGAGTGGTAAGTGAGAAAGTACAGGATCTGTTCTAGGAACAGAGAGATTAATCTGACTGAGTGAAGGTTTCGGGTAAGGGAGATTACAGGTGGAAAGATAGGTTGAGATCCGACCATGAATAACCTTGAAAGGTTTTATCCAGCATGCTGCCATTGAAGATTCTAAAATGGAGTTAGGGAAGCAAAGAAAGAGGCGATAATTACCAAAGGCAACCACTGGCAGAAGGCAGCAAATAGTTATTTTTCAGTCTGTTCCAGATATTTGTGGTGGAATTCTTGGGGATGCGGGAAGGTGATATGGTATTCCCCCAAAAGAGTGGAAGTTACCATCCTGGCTCATATTTCAGGTTAAACTAGATAGGTTAAACTAGGAACAACATGCCATGTAACAGAACTGCTCTTCCCCTGGTTACTGTCATGGGCTCTCAGGCTCTTTTCTGCAGACCCAGCGGTCAGGACTTAGGTGAGGTGGAGCCAAAAACCTCAGCTGTCTTCAGTACTGTTTGTTTTCACCCATCACTGTCGTTCCTGGAGTGTCAAGTGGTTCAGAGCAAAACTAGGCACAGAAACAGGGTGGAGCTCCACCCAAGTAACAGAGAAAGTAGTCTGTGTACTTTGAAGGAAGGGTGCTAGGAGAGAAAAGGTTGAGAGCCCTGATTCGCCTAGTGATTTCCTGCCTCTAGGTTGTGTTTTCTTCCCATGTGTTACAATCAAGAGGGCCATTCTCCAAATGCCTGGAAATAATTCCCTAACCTCTGACGTGTACACCTAAGCTACAATGCCTAAAATGTACCTTCAGGGAAGGATCTTTGGAGTTAGGAGGGAGGATGACCCATGTGTGTTGGTTTTTCTCAGAGGCATAAAATTAGGTCTCATAAAGCCCAAAGTGGGGCCTGGAATTCAAAAGGTCCAAGTCATCCCAGAAGGGAGTATGGAGCCAGGAATTCCCTCCGAAGTACTGACCAATTGAACTTTCTGTGATGATAGAAATGTTTTACATCTGTGCTCTCTAATATGGTAGCCACTTAGCTACATGTGATTATCAAGTACTTGAAATATAGCTAGTATGACTGAGGAACTAAGTTTTAAAATTTATTTAATTTTAACTATGTAAAATCTAAATGACCTAGTGGCTGCTACACTGGATGACTAGTGGCTGCTACACTGGATGACTTGGCTCCAGGGTGAAGAGGCTTCTGGTGCACAGGAAGGACTTAGGAGCCAGCCCCTGGAGTCAGACAGAATAACATATATAGAAGACCTAGTTAGCCCACACTCTAGAGTGTATATTCCCATCACTAAAAAAAATTTGAGCATGTACCTCCAATATGTGAATATTTATTTCTAAATTATATCTATGTTCCACTGTTCTAATATATACATTATAAAACATAATATAAAATATTTTAAATAGATGAGATTAAAAAACAAATATAGCAGTTCTAGCATTTTCTTCCCATATCCCAGTGAATATGGAGACTATTGTTGTAGAAATCCCCCATCTTGAACCCCTAGGCTTGTCACTTTCCCATCTCTGGGAAAGGGTTGGAGTAGATTCCGTCTACGATCCATTCCATCCAGAATTCTATGACTGTATGATCTGTTGGCAGCATCTCCTTTGCTGAAATCAGTCAGAACGAGGTCCTGCACATTATCTGTGCAGAAGGTTAACATGGTTCCTACCCTTCAAGAGTTCCCACTGTGAGAGGCAAGGCAAGGGATATTCTTTAGGAATTCCTCAGGGATATGCCTCCAGTCAGTCATACTAATCAGTTCACCTCCTCAGTTGACCAGAGATTATAGATAGAACACAAAAATCCATTGGGTTAGATGCTATCATTATGCCTATTTTCATATGACAAAATTAAAGCCCAGAGGGAGTAACTAACTTGCTAAATCACACAGTAAGAAGTGGCAGAACCTAGGGATTTAAACCTAGATACTGTGATGTCAGACCCAAGCTTTTCAATTTCATACGCTACTACTTCCCTACATAGTACAACTTAATAAAATATAAACTAAGGAACAAAATACTAACAAATGGTATCAGGATCAGAGTTGTGGCAAGACTTCTTGGAAAAAATAAATTATAGGTAAGTTATTTTTTTAAACATTTTTATTACAGAAAAATTCAAACATTAAGTAGAGAGTCCTCACCTAGCTTTAAGGCAATGTTTTGAAGGGGATATGAGATGAGTATTGGCAGGGAGGGCACTGCAGGTAAAGTCAGTGGTCTTTGGGGAGCCTTGATGGTGGGAAGAAATAAGCCTGGTGCAGAGAGCTATGAGGGAGATGATCATTTTGGCTAGTGGGTGTATTTTCAGGAAAAGAGATTCTTTATGGTTTCTTCATGAGGATGTGGGTAAGGGAATGCAGAGCAGCTGAAGTAGGAGGTAACTTGGTTCTCTCTCTCTCTCTCTTCCCCAACCCAGGTTCCCTCGGAACTGCAGGCCGTGTCTGCAGCAAGACATCTAAAGGGACAGATGGCTGTGAAATCATGTGCTGTGGCCGAGGCTATGACACAACTCGAGTCACCCGTGTCACCCAGTGTGAGTGCAAATTCCACTGGTGCTGTGCTGTGCGGTGCAAGGAGTGCAGAAATACTGTGGACATCCATACTTGCAAGGCCCCCAAGAAGGCAGAGTGGCTGGACCAGACCTGAACGTATAAATACCTCACTCATCCCTCCACTTCAAACCTCCTGACTCAGAAGCACAAGATCTTCGCATGCACGCCTTCCTCCACCCTCAACCCTGGGCTGCTCTAGCTTCTATTTAAGGACTTGGAGAGTAATCAGAGGGACTCTAGTGTCCTGACTCTGATTCCTTAGCCCTGGGAGGTTGACAGGGGATGTAAGAATCTGAGCAGCTCCCGGACTACCCCCTCTGGAGGTTAGAAGGGAGAGTGTAAGAGGTGTAGGGGTCTTCAGAGTGGTATGAGTTGCACTAAAGCATGTGGTCAAGGCTCATTTTCCTGTCCCTTGCACTGGCTTCCTGACACTTATTGTGTGTGCAAGAGGAAAGGTACCTGGAGAGAGCTGCTTTTTCTTCCTACCTGGCTGACGGTAGATGAGACATAGATGAAACCACGTATCTCCTCCCCGGGACAGTTTGAGCATACTGCCTGGTACTGCCCCCTCCCCAACCCACCCCCCAACAAAAACAAAACAACAACAACAAAAAAACTTCTTAAGCTACGACCTTCTTTCATTCTTGAGAGTTAGACAAGAGTTAACCATAGTGGACGAGGTTCCATTCATATGCTCATATGTTTATAAACTGCTGTGTTTGTAGGGGAAAACATTATATAACTATACAAACATACATTTTCTTCCAATCTGTACTTTCCATCTATATCAGACAGCGCTGCCTTTTTTGCTCATTTGTTGCTTGTTCAAATTGAGTGGCATGGAGTGGTACCCATGCCTAACAGATCATTAGAATACCCTGGGACATCCCTGAGAAAGAATAATTTAGTAAATCTGCCTAGGCCTTGGGATTTTATTTTTTAAAATTTCCATGCATTATTCTAGGTCAGCCAGGATTCGGAAACACTGAGAAAGGTAAACAATTCATGGAGGGTGGGAGAGGGCACCAGTCCTGATCTTAAGGGCCCATATGAGGCATCAGTGTATACTAGGCAGGTAGAAATTTCTGACTCTGGTGATTTTTAGGAGGGGATCCTAGCCTTTGAAGCTGGGAGCAGAGACCACGGGCTACAGAAGAAGGAGAGCTAGGGCTTTGGGCCAAAGTGGTAAACAGCTTAGAAAGTAGCCTTTCCCCATTTATTCAACAAATCTTTACTAGCTCTCCAAGTCCTGGTGATTATTGTTCACTCCATGTTTAGCTTAAATAAGGGAGCTCTTTCTTTGCTACTACCCGCTGCCTAACGAAGCCTGCAGTGGTGGAGTCTCCAGAGAGAGCAGACTCAGTAAGCTAGAGGGCAGGACACGGAGTCCCCAAAACTGTGATGTCCTATTTTTATGTGACTTGGAACAGTGGTTATCTCTTGCCTGTTGATATTTTTTAAAAGAGTGATATAGAAATTTGCAGTTATGACAGATGTGGGTTGAAATCACAGCTGTTTTTGATATTTTAAACAAAGTACCCAAATTCTCTGAGCCTCTATCTTCTCATCTGTAAAATGAGGGTACTAACCTATCTCAGATATTGAGTTTTAATTATGCCCCAAACTCCAGCCAACAGACACTCTTACCAAAGCCCCTACAGGTCTAGCCCATCATGACTTATCTCAGAACCTTCAATTCAGGACTATATAATATTGACAGCAGGGTATAGATCAAGGGGCTTATACAAGGGATTCTGAATATAGCTCCCCCCTTCCCAAGTTCCTTCCCAACGTCCCCTGGGGTCCTCACATGTTTGTGGAGCAGCTTCACTCTGCACAGGCAGCAGAAGGGAGCCACAGCTCGGGGCCATGGGGGCAGATTTATTTGGATGATAGGACTAATATTTGTGTAACCTGCTGAGACCTGTGTGGGAGAGTTTGGGGTGGTTTTTCTTTCGGCGAGGGGGTTTGCTCCGATTTCACATCCATTAACACAAAACATGAGCTTGTCAGGGCCCTTGTGGTCTGCGGTGAGGGGATTCCTGTGGAGAAACGGGACTGAGTGAGTCAGGCCAGGGGAATGTCTTCCTTACAGAGTGGAGGCCACTGGATAACTGATGAGCCAATGGTGGGATTAAGGAGGGGAAAACAGGAGGGGAAGAGAAGGGCTTCTGACATCTTGAGCTGGGATTAAGAGGAGGAAAAGCCCTAGGGTAGTGGGAAGGTAAGAGGGTCATAGTCTGAACTCAAGAACAGAGTTGAATGAATTTACAAAAGGGTGCCATCTTGTGTGCTGGGCTGCCAGGAAGAGCCTTAGGTCCCACTTAGCCCCTGCTCTCACAAGAACATCCAGGTTACCATGTAAATGATAGGCCTTCCATGGGAAATCAACCCAAGTTAAATCTACCTGTGCTCCATTATCTATTCTTTTCGGTTCTTACCCTGTGGAAGGAAGTGGGCCTCTTCCGGCATCTTATACTGCTCTGTGCTTTCCCCTGAGCTCCAAATTCTAATTCACAAAGACCCAAGTTTTACATTTTCCTATAAATGGTTAAGAGAAGAGGAAGCTGTTCCGAGAGTGAGACGTTTGAAAAGAGAGGTGAAAAGGGAGAGAAAAGAGGTCCATGGAAGCCGCACTACAGGAGCTATGTGGCCCCAAGAAGGAATGATGGCCAATTTTTCCTCTTATTCCTTAGCTTGCCTCTGCATTCCGAATGGCTTTAGACAACTGGCGTCCATTCTGCGCTATACAAACAAACTAATTTATTTGGAACAGGCAGCAAAATGAGAACTTTATTTGGTGTAATCGGGGCTCCATTTAGTTCTGCTGCTACGCACTAGAGCTCTATCCCTCAGATCAGCAGTCTCTTAGCCCCTCTCCTCTCTTCCGGTCCTTCCTAATGGTCCTCATTTCTTTTAACTTTTAATATTTAGGTATAATGCAGGCAGAAAGTGCTACTTGGATACAAAGAACATAAAAGACATTATCTTTCTCCTTTAAAGATCTTAGAATCTTTTGGAGAAGACACATGACTGAAGTTCCTCAGCTGCACAGCCTGAAGCCAGTTTCTCTCATGTAAAAGTAAGGATGCCAGCCTTAACCTCGCCCTGCAGATAAAAGCCAACTTGTATTATTACTAGCCTTGAATAATAGCACTAATCCATACTCTTCCTTAGAGTGATGCTGGAAAAATGTAATCAGGGACTTCAGATTATTTAAAAGAATCAAACATTGCCTGGCCCTGAGGGTCTGTTTGCAAACGTTTTTTAGGTCTGACTCATGACCACTCACTGTCTAATTTCTCTTCCTCCCTGTTGCAGAGAGTAATTTCTTCTCCTTACTCTCACCTCCCTCGGCAAGAACACGAACCACTAAGTCATTGCCAAATTCTCAGACCCACTCATCAAGACATTGGCTTAATATAAGAGAGATAATTAGAATTTTTTTCCCCTCAGCCTTTCTGAGGTTTTATTTAAATGCCCTCAGTGGTCATAGGGCAGAAGCCCAAGGGAGGACGCCAGGGAGAGTATGTTTCTCATCCCTGGGAGGCCGTCAGCCTCTGCTCCTGCAGCCAAATTACAGCACCAGAGAACAATGTGATGCATTCCTCGGCAGGTCGGTGGGACCCTGGGCGCCTGGGCCTGTGGAGAGAGGTGCCAGACACAGAGCTCTCCGTAAGCAATCCTGCAGAGCCGCCCCCTGGGTGCAGAAATGAAATACGGGAGAGCTTCACATTACACAGAGACCTGTAGCTCACACCTAGTTATTGATAGCCTTGGTGAAGGCCTCTGCCCCCACCCTCCACTTAGGAACTGCCTGCTACTACGGGGGTTGGGCATCTTTTAAGCAATGTTCGAAAACATGAGATGCTTCCTTTTCACTCTGCCCTCCCGGTCAACCTGGACACAACCGTGAGAATATACACACACATGAGATGCACATATATGGACATATACATAGCATCTCTCAGGTTGTACAGGAGTTCTAGTCATCTTCCCTCTCGCCAACAATAAAAAAAAGCAACTAGATTGCAATCAAATCCGTCAAAAATCATACCAACAACAGGGGTTCGGCTATAACCAATGAATATTAAAAAGTTGCATTATCAACGTGCAAGCAGCTGTTTGGTTTGGGGACTGGTTCTCCCCTGGGAGGGTAGCAGGAGAAGGAAACAGGAATCAACAGTAGACAATTAGCACCCAAGCAGAGGAGCTGAGACAAGTTCTCACAGCTGGTTCATGCTGGACATAGTACAATTCATGCCCTATGTGCTATGGGTGATAAGGCAGTCTCCTGCGACTACACTAACTAAGCTTTCTATTCATGACCTCTTATTTTTAACTCTTGTTAGTTTAGAAAGCAAGAAAGCTTTGGGTTCCAGAGATGATCTCCATGAGAGAGAAGCACTGAAGAGGAGCAAGCAGTGGTTTTACTAGAGTAAATATGGCATAGCTACTGCAATGAACTGAGCTTTCCCAGAAAATGTTATTCTCTCTGGGTGACTGGCAGGTTTCAGGCAATAGCCCGTAGGATGTTAGTAATATCCCATCTTTGACCCCAAAGGGATAGAAGAAAAGGAGAGTTTATAAGCACATTTTTCCAGTTCCATGGCTTAAACGATCTCTGATCATTCTTCATTTACTTAAGACGTTTTAGTCATCCTGGATTTGAGAAAGCAAGGTATGCATTCTCCCTTTGGCTCCCTAACTCTGAACTATCCTGATTTAAACTTGCCTTTGCTCACTTCCATTCTGCCTATGGGTCTATGAATAGAACGGCTGGACAGGGGAGTTCTTTTTCTTTAAAAGGAACCAAAATCTGGTGACTTTATTTCAATATCACCAGGCCCGACCAAATAGAAAGGCTAAATTAATTGAATAAAAAAGGAATACAGTTTAGTCAACAGCTGTCCTATTTGACTACTTTCAATGTATGGCTTCTCCAAGAATAACTGTGATACTCATATAAAGCTTTTTTATGTACAAAATACTTTAGCATATACGTAATTCTCACACCAACCCTGTGAGGTAGGAATTACACTCACTGTATACAGGTGCCGTTCAGAGAGACTCAGTGATTTGTCTAAGGTCACTTGGATGGTTTTTTTTTTTACATGTACATAAGGCCACGTGGATATTGAGTGGCTCAGCCAGAATGCAAACCTAGGGCTTCTGACTTCAAACCCTGTGTGCTCCTCAAAGACTGAGAATGCCTAGGACCGGAAGTGCCAGAGTCTCAGATCTTCAAAACGGAAATTGATACAAAATATTCTAAGAGGGTACAGCTGAGCAGAATTTACAAAAGGAAAGGCCTAGGCCTTCCCTAAGCTCATCAATAAATCCCCTTTTTGCCACTTCTGTCACAATTATCACCATTACCCAAATGATCACTATACTAAGTAATCCGCATTTAATCAACTCTGGCTCTTAGTTCTATTCCTTTTTTCTTCTTCAGATTAATACTTAAACTTTTGTTTTAGTTTTATCTAGTCCTTTTAAAGTGATGCTAAATGTGTAGACAGAATAGAAGTAGTCATAAGAAACTATGGAAGGAAGTAATTAAGGCTTTGGGCTTTTAAAGTATATATTAGAATTTCCTTTGAGGCTTCACTCTTTTTAAAAATGCTGTCAATCCCTAGGCTAGGAAAGAAAGAGCAGGGAATGAGAGTGCTAAAAAACCATCCGTCCTATCCCAGGCCAGATGCCTCCTTGCGGCCTAGTAAAGGTCTTGGGAACTCTAGCTGAGACAGGCAATTTATCCCCACCAAGGCAAAAAATATCTACCCTGCAGAGAAACCCCTGCAAGGTGAAGCAGACAACAGATTTTCACTTGATCAAAAACTTTTGCTGTGCCCAACCCCTCCTTCCCATCCTCATTCAAAATCTGGATTTCCGTTTAGGTCCAAGACAGTGAGACAAAGCAGCTCCAAGAGATGCTGTGTGCAAGGGAAACCCTTCCCTGTTCAACCCTGGAATGTATTCTGTTAGAGACAGTATAAGCCCTCACAGACTCTACCTATTCCACTCCTGTACCCCGACTGTGAAGGCAGGAGAGAAATCTGCAGGAACACAATGTTCATCAATCATAGACCTGGGATGCTATAGTTTCCTGCTCTGGGCCCCCACCGGAGCTAAGGGAAGAACACCTCATGAAAACAGTCTACCTATAGGCAGGATCTCTTGCAGAGCAAACCTTACTTTTTGGTCCATCGATCTTGGCTCTCACTCCTCTCCCTGCTTCCCACCCCCACTGCCTCCGCATGTGGGCTCAGAAGTCATCATCTAAAGAATTCCATTGCTCACCTCCTGCATAGCAGCACAGCCCCATGAGGCCGCACACCAGATGGAGGGGATAAAAGTACGAGGTCATGGCTTCTAGCAAGAGGCTTTTTCTTAAACTAACCCTGACTCCTAGAAAAGAGGCAGAGCAGGAGAGTGTCGGGTGAGCTGCTGACGACAGCAGCTTCATAGGTCTTGTGTAAAAAGGAAGAAAAAAGCTAACTTGGCTTTCAGTGGAAATTTCTCTAGTCCCATCTCCAGACCTACTCCTGG